TATATATATATATATATATATATATATATATATATGGGTAATATAAAGTTTATATAAATATATATATATATATATATATATATTTATATAAAGTAATATATATAATATATATATATATAAAGTATAATATATAATATATAATATATATAATATAATATATATATATTTATATAAAGTATAATATATAATATTTATATAAAGTAATATATATATATATATATATATATATATATATATATATATAAAGTAATATATATAATATATATATATATATATATATAAATATATATATATATATATATATATATAAATATATATATATATATATATATATATATAAAGTAATATATATATATATATATATATATATATATATATATAAACCTTTATATTATATACAAGTACTGATATAAAAAGACTTTATCATAGAAAAATAATTTCATGAATTCATATGATCTATAATTTTTTTTTTAAATCTATACAATCAGAATGTTTTATTCATTTTAATAAATTACATCAATTATTATGAAACTAAGAATCTTTTCTTAATCAACATTAGTAATTATGAAGAGGAAAATAACAAGTGAAATATTTTTGTTTAATAATTATTTATTTATTTGTAAAAATTTTTTATTTCTTTTCATATTCTGGAGTGACTGATAAAATCTGTGTCTGGGTGTGTGTATGCAACTGCAAAAAATATAAACTCTTCCTTCATAGCCATTCTGATTTTCTTTAAAACCCTTTCAGAATAAAGTTTAGAAAGGAAAGCATTAGATTTTATACAAAATGTTCAGAAATAGGTTATTAGCTGTGGAGATAATTTTTACATGGGATGCATTAATTAATATTTATTATAAAACACTAGCATACTGCCCAGAAAAAAATGATGTGATTATTTATATATGGCATATGGCTCTGCACTTCTGGTTATGATCAGAGTATTTAAGGTGTACTGGTTAACAAAAAAAGTGTTGCTCACCAGTACTTTGATCACTGTATTTTGATTTTAGTGTTTGTAATTTTACTTTACAAGCAGTAGAATGCAGCAATATATATATATATATATATATATATGTGTGTGTGTGTGTGTGTGTGTGTGTGTGTGTGTGTATATATATATATATATATATATATATATATATGTGTGTGTGTGTGTGTGTGTGTGTGTATATATATATATATATATATATATATACATATACACACACACACTTAATCAGTATCATCCCAAGCAAGGCTGTAATGCCACTAAAACAAAAGAGGTTACAACATGTGGAAGAATTAGAAACAGAAGCATTCATTATTGATGAGCAAAAAGAAAAGAATGTCACCAGAAGGACAGTAGATAGCAATTGACATTGCATTTAAATTTTTGAAGATTAAAGTTGGCTAGAAAGCATGGAGCCAGAAGGGAGTTCCACAAGTGAGAAGTGCAAGAGAAGAAACTGTTAACATAGAACTTACAGCTATATTTAGCCATCTCAACTGTAAATTGATGAAATCTCAATGCCAGTCTAGTTCTGTGCTTAAATTCAAAAACTCTAGGTATCATAGTGAAGAGCTCATCTGAACAATTACCATAAAAGTACTTATGGAAAAGACGTAGATGGAAAACTGAGATGCCAGGTCAGGATCAATAATATTGCAGATTCTTCTTTAGATTTTATCAAGGGGCTCAAGATAAATAGCAAGGACACTAATATTCCAATATTCTAAGCATGGACGAATGTAGACTTTTTTATTTTATATATATATATATATATATATATATATATATATATATATATAATAAAAATATATATGTATGCGTATGCATGTATGTATATATATTCATATATTTTGCATATGTATGTGTATATTTACCACTATTATATATATATATATATATATATATATATATATATATTTCACAATGAGTCTACAGCCTCAAATATTTATTTTCAACATAAATTCCTACTGATTCTTGCTAATACACTTCATCCACTGGCAGATCTGGTAATCACATAGAATGAGAATTTCAAATTGAATTCAGTTAATAACTATGAGGTAGGCTATAGACTTAATGATCTCTCTCTCTCTCTCTCTCTCTCTCTATATATATATATATATATATATATATATATATATATATATATATATGAAAATGATGAAACAAAGTGAGAATTTTTTATCAAAGACATGTTTCACTACCACCTGAGAAAAATCTGTTTTCTCTTTTTTCTTCAGTTTGATAATTAAAGAAAAGACAAACAAATTGTGAGAAAAAAAGTTTTTAGTATCTCTAAGGACAATTTAGGCTTGAAAAGAGTCTGTCTGTTGTCTGCCTAAATCATGAGGTGATCAGTTGGGGCAATAAATTTTATCTATGAAGCCCATTTGTCCTTAGAGATACTAAAGACATTTTTTTCCTCACAATTTGTTTGTCTTTCTTTCATTATCAAACTGAAGAAGCCAAAGAGAAATTTTCCACTTTCTCATCATGACTTTTCTTTCAGATATTATATATGAATATATATATATAATATATTATATATGAATTTACAATAAAAGACACTGATAACCAGCATGGTTTTCAAGCAATGCCCAACTTGAAATGGTTTTGAAATATTTTATAAACTTGACAATTTAGAATAGAAAAGAAGTGAATAAAGAATAAAAGGGGAAATAGTCAGTTAATTTGCCTTTCTTTTCTTTACAGAATTAGGCAAATCCTTCCGCGTCAACCATAAAATCGGAATGAAATGTTACTCATTCTTTTGTTGTTAAAAAAATAAGAAAAATATAGTAGATCCATATTTTAAAAAAATCAATCCATTTTCTCATTAAATGCATCCATATATAAAATTGCATAAAAAATAAATAATATAAAAATGCAATTATATAAAGAGATAATTTATTTTTAAAATAATTACCTATTTTGGAGTCAATAACCAATCAAAGCAGGGATTTTGGAATCAAGCAGTTTGCCAATTTTTATGAAGAACAGATATTCATTTTAATTCCTCAGAAAGAAAATGGTCTTAGAAACAAAATTTTACTGTAGTCATTATTTAGAAATAAAGCAAACTATGTTGAAATCTATAAAGATGATAGGGTGCAGAGTAAGGTTGTCAGCCTAACATACTTCTACAGATCTGACCAAAAACTGAAATAGTTTTTTTCTTGAAGGGCTTCTTAATTAAGCTGAGAACTTTTCACCTCCACCTCATGTAGATTTAGTGACAACATTTGTTTAAAAGATTTTGAAAATACCTCAGTTCTGAAGCTTGTGATATTAATAATTTCTTTTTTGTAAGAGAGAAACTGACTTCAATTAAATTTCAACTAAAATCAATTATCTCTCTCTCTATATATATATATCTCCCAATTTTGAAAACATGACAAAAAAGCACAGATTCTTTTTTTTAAATAAAAAAAAATCAATAAAAAATAACTAATTTGGCTATTTGGTAAAATCATCTATGAAATTTTATAAGTGTGTATAAAGATATTATATATATATATATATATATATATATATATATATATAACATAAATCCAAGATTATTGATATATGCTTATATTTTTATGAATATATGTATAGAAGATATATGATGAGGTGCTGAAAAGTTCTTGACCCAACTCACTACTCCAAATCTGACTGAAGGACCAAATATCAGATTTTTTATGGGAGTGAAAACTTTTCAGCATTGCTATGTGTATATATATATATATATATATATATATATATATATATATATATATATATATATATATATATATATATATATATATATATATATATATATATATATATATGTATAACTGTAGACAATGACAACAAACTAATTGTAAAGATTGTAAAACTATTTTTTTCCCTCCTGCACAAAGCATGAAATGAAAGAATTGACTTGTACTTCAATTTGTCGTTCATACAATTACTTCAACCTTTTAATAATTAAGACTTAAGTATAGGATGGGGGTTATTTTCTGTTAAGTAAAAACAGTTTAATTATATCTGAACAGATAAATAATTACAGATAATTTTTTAAGTTATAAATTGATAAACTAGATTTTTAGTTTTTTAATAAAGTTATTTACTGCGTGTTTAATACTAAAAGCACTAAAACCATTTTTTTGTACATTCTCAATGAAATGAATAAATTTCAAAAATATATTTCATGTAATTAAACCTTGAAATTAAAGGTTTTTCTTATTTACTTGGATACAGCAGTTAGAGATTATTTTGGAGCTTATTCAAACCAGTATCTTTATTTTTGTTGTTCTGATCTCAATAATTTGTTGATTCACTCTTTAATATACCATCTAACCACTTAATAATCACAAAACTGTCTGAATAAAAACATCAAAAATGACAATGTTCAGCTGAATAATTAATGAAATAATAACAATATTTTGATGCAAAATTTCAGTGTTTAACATTTCATTCTGTGGTCAAAAAAGAATTTATTTATGATCAGAATTTTTTTATATTCTTTATTTGTCTGCATATTGAAAAAAATAGATAAAAATTAAATTAAATTATTCAATCATTATCAGTTCATATCTTATTTTTATTGGTTCATCATAACTTTGAAAGATTAAATTTTATGTTTTTTTAGTTTAGGCAAAAAGGAAAATGCTTCTTTTTCATTGTTTTTGTTTTTGTATTTGACTTCCTCTCACTTTGAAAAATTATTAAAAATTAATGTATTTTTATAACTGTTTAAAATTGTTAAAATATTTAGAAATGTGGCTAAAGCAGTCTTCTACATAAAAAGCCTGAAATTTTATATTTAATTCAGAATTATGCAGTAAAGTAATTTAGTCAAACTCAATCCATTTTTCTAAGAGTCTAATGAATTCCTGTATTGATGCCTAAAAACTATTGTATAAGATCATTTTTCATTTTGTAGAAGAATGAATTTGTCAAGGATTTAATAATTTCAAAACTGCTGGTTATCTCAAAAGTATAACAGCAGGAAAGAGAAAAAGAATTTGAAATTGCATCTACTTACTGAACATGGGATGAACCTACGGATCAGGTAGCCTCTGCTCATATGTCAGCCTGGTTGTCAATCAGTCTGTTTTAATGATTGGCTTATGACGTGACCATTTACACAGCAGGAAGAGCAACAGAGTTAGTCACTGCATTTCTTTTTCTTATCAAAGTGTCGTCACATTTTGGCTGCAGAAAAACAAAAAAAAAAAAACACTCAAATGCTAATTCTTTGCTGGAAAAATTCCCCTTGCATTTTTTTTTACCAAAATGGGTTTTTATTTCACTTTTTGTTTTTCTCTACAAAAAAGATTATTTGATGAAAGAATGCAGTGTGGTCTTAATTCTATGTCTTGTCTTTTCTATATTTCGATGAAGAAAGAAAAAGAAAGCAACTCCCTCCTTCCCAACATCTCCATGCTTCTTGCAGATGTGCACCTAGTTTTCCATCTGTGGGTGGTTCTGAGATGCATGCTGTGTACTTGTGGTGCCCCTGTGGGTGACTGTCTTATACGACTTTTTCTTCTTTACTTTAGAATTGCAAAGCTTTTCACTGTTTGGGTGAGATCTCATTTCAATAATATTTGTTCTTTTTTAACCCTGTGGCCATATTTTCCCAGATGTCATGGGAAGTGAGACTTGCACGATTTCCTGACGTCATTCACTCCATCAACAGCCAACTGCAAATTAGCAATTCTTGGAAAGAAGAAGAAGAAAAAAATTGTTTGGCCTTATTCATCTTCCATCTCTGCTGCTTTCCACATGCAAGAGGGGTTTAATTTAAAAAATGGAGATGTAAGGTTGATGTCAGTGGAGAGAAGAAAAGAGATGATGAGGAAAGAAAGGGCTGTGTCAGTAGCAAGAAAGAAAAAGACAAAGAGGCAAAAAGAGGGTAGGAAAAGTAAGGGCAAAGAGAATAAAAATGAAAGAGAGGATGAGGAAGTGGGAAAATAAGAAAGAAAGTATAGTATCAGTAGGAGAAGGAAAGAGACATAGAGAGAGGAATGAGGGAGGGGGAAGGAGGGATGCAGGAGTGATATTTGATGTCATGGAGAAGGAAATAGAGAGTGGATCAAAAAGTGTAAGGAAAGTAGAAAAGAAAATCTTGATGACAGTAGGGAGAAAAAAAAAGAAGACATGGAAAAGATAAATAAGCAAAGAATGGTGAGGGGTTATTATTAAAAAGGAGAAAGAAAGCAAAGATAAAAGAAAAAAAATGCAATTTCAATGAAGAGAAGAAAGAAGGAACAAATTCAGAAGAAAGAAAAGCAATAAAAAGTTGTCAAATCCCCAAAAATAAAGGGAAAAATGAAAGACAAATTGTGTAAAGAGAGAAAAGAACAACCTCAAATCTGAAAAAAGAAAAAAAGAAGAAAGTAAAATAAAAGAAAGGAGGTGGGGGATGGTTCTGCTAAATACCATCAAATGGTTGAGTCCATCATAGAATGTTGTGTTTGTATCATGTTGTTTGCCCTGCTGACATACACACCCACACACTCACACACACATGTATTGCCCCCAGGGTTTCCAGGGCTTGTTAGTCTCAGACATGCCGCAGGGCCATGATCTTCACAGATGGTTTTCTTGCCTTCCCAGTGACACTGTGGTGCCTTTGTTGCAGAAAGCAACTGACATTTGACCCCCACGGGCTAGAGCACCCCTCCCCACCCTAACAACCCCCTGCCATAAGCTTTTCACACAATTACACACCCATTCTACTCCCTTGTCATTTTTATTCTTACATATCTTCTTTTTTTCTCTGTTCTTTCTTTTCTTTGATGATCTTGTTAGGGGTGGAATCACTGCCATTGCCACCATTAAACACCACCAGAAGAAAAAGCATGGGGGGGGGGAGAGAGAGAAAAAAGAGAGCAATGACTTTAGTGAAAAAAAAAAAAGAAGGAAAAAAGAGGTTCAGTAGAAAATCCTAATTATGATTATAAACAGAACAAGAAAACAGACCAAAGTGAATGTTTATCAGAATAAAAGAAAAAAGTAGAAAAATAGAAAAAAGAAAATGAAAAGAAAGGAAAAAAAGAAGGAAAAAGAAATATGAGTGTGAGAAGGAAATAATGAGAGGGTAAAAAAGGGGATAGTGTGGGAGAAATGATTAAGAAATAAAGAGAGAGAGGAGATGGAAGAAAATAAAGAGAGGAGGAAGAAGGCAGAAGATAAAGAAGAAACAGAAGGAGAAAGAGGAGAGAAAAAGAAACAGGTGTGTGGAAGGAGAGAGAAAGTAAATAGTGTGAAGAAAGAAAAAAAGGACAGAATAAGAAACAGGTGTGTACAAGAGAGGAAACTGAATTGTTGGAGAGAGAAAAAAAAATAAGAATATGAGAGGATAAATAATGGATAAAAGAGATGAAGAAATATAACAATATAGGGGGTGGAGAGAGAGAGAGAAAGAGAAACAAAGAAGAAAAATAGATATATGAAAATGATAGAAGAAAATCCAGTGAATGAAGAGAAAAGAAAGATAGAAATGAAAATAAGAAGGAGAGAGAGAAAAAATAAGATAAAAGGAAAAATGAAGGTGAGAAACAATTAAGAATGTTAGAAGATGAAAAAGGAATGAAGGAGAAATTGGAAGATAACAGGATAGAATGAGAGAGAGAGAGAGAGAGCAAAAAAAGAAAAAAGGAAAGTGTAATGAAGTGAGATATAGAGGGGAAGAGAGAAGGAAAAATAATAAAAAAAAAGGATTAGAAAGAAAATAAAGTAAAAGAAATGAAGTGAAATACAGTAGTGACATATTTAGTGTCATTTTTACTGATTAAATTTATTTTTATCTTTCACTTGATGTACTTTACCTTTCCCCATTGCCTGAAATTATAACAATAATCATTGAACATAGACCTACTCAGGTAAGAATTTGAAAATGCAATCCATGCATCTATGCTACATTATAAGTTGTAAAGATAATATTCTCCAAATGATTCCATACAGATATTTGTCTTGAATCTTTTTGTTTACATTATTTCTTCTATTTTTCCATCATTCCAATGAGAATAATGAGTAACAAAGATTGCTGCTATGCTTGAAATTTGGCGTTGGGTAAATAATCAAAATTTACTATAATGGAAATAGCAACACGTATGCAGATTTTATGCTATGGATCTTTCTGAAATGTTAATTACACACTTTTATTTTCTTGTTTTTTCTCTCTTGCTTTTAATTAAAAATAGTGTGGAAAGCCTTTAATATAATCCAAAAAATTTTGAAAAAATATTGATATCTCAGATACCAATTTTATTTAGTTTAAGAGTCCCCCCCCTGCATCATGCTACTTACCTTGATGCTTATTCTATTTAAAAAAAAAAGAAAAGAACAAAAACTATATGTAGTGTCTTCTTCATCTTATACACTTTCCCATGTGGCTTCATATTTATTAGCCATATTTTACACTGAATGGTGCACTCCTTTTTCCATAAAATGTCACACCACAGTTGCATATTTTAGTGAAATTTCAAGACTGTGACTGAGTTGATAGAATCATGTTTACCAAAATGAAGATGTGTCTGATGAACATTCATTGTAATCATCATCAGTCCCATGACTGGGTGTGGTTGTAGTGTTAAGTACTAGACCAGTTCCCTCTATTTAGATTGAAAATGGGAGAGGTCTCCACCCAGCAATGCCATGTCATCACTCCTGCACTGGCTGCATCCATAGCCATGGAGCCCAGTCTACCTTTAGATTGCCATTGATCATACAAGAAGGTTCATTTGTCTGAAAAGCCTTGTGGGCAGGGCTGGATTATGACCTTTTGGGGCCCTCTAGGATAATGAAACTATGGCATCCCCCCTAAATGGAGCCACTAACTCACCCAAAACCGCCTTGAATATTTTTTTTACTTGTGATATATTTTAGCAATATTTACATAGCTATTCTAGTTTATTTAAAGAATTTGCAATAAGTTTATTTTAAGTTAACTTTTGTTTATGAATGAAAATATTCTTTATTGAGAAATACCACTATTTTACTATTTATTGTAAACCAAATTAGCACAGATTTCAAAACAATCATAGTAAAGAAAAAATAACAGATTTTTATAAGCAGTTTTATAAGAATAAAACAATCCAAATAAATATGAGTTTATTGTATTGATATCATTTC